AGCTGCACACAAAGTGTTGAGGTATATTAAAAGAGCTCCATGGATAGCTGCAAATCCAGTCTTCCATGAAAAGACGAATCACATAGAGCTGGATTGCCATCTAATACGGGATAAAATACAAGAAGGAAGTGTGATTACTAAACATCTTAATACTAAGTCTCAAATTGCTGACATTTTAACTAAGGCTTTAAGTTCACATCGGTTTTATAAACATATGGACAAGATGGGAGTCTATGACATTCACTCTCCATCTTGCGGGGGATGTTGAAATATCAAGCATGACTTCTGAAGGATCAACAAGAAGAAAATCAAGTTGTGGAGGATGAAGACCAAATGAATAATTTTGCTGTGGAAGAATAGAAGGGGACCAATTTCTTGTTAACATATTCACGGTTGCAAATCTGTTTTGTATAGCTAGTTATTTTCCTTTTTTTTATGTAGAATATAGCATAAATTCTCCCTTCTAGATCCTTCTCACCGAATGTATATATACCTCATAGTGATGTACAAATTATAGTGTGAATAATTCAATGAAATTACTTTCTCATTTCCTTCATTCACTGTGTTAAGCATTGTTACATGGTTTATTTTCATTATTATTGAGATTTTACAGTTATCTGAACCAAAAATTTTAAATTGCTATCACAAGAATTGCAAAACCTTACCCTAATATTCTTGCAAAATTTATTGTTGGGCAATTCAAGAATAGAGTTTCATTTCAAAAAGCAATGAAAAACGTTAATTATCCATGATTGAAATCTCATATTTCCATGTATTAATAGTTTCTCATTTTTGGTTAAGGAATTGTTGAATTATTGCCTTCGAACAAATGAAAGAAAACGGATATTGATATTAGTACTGTAATTCGATCCATTAGGGAACAAATTATTCAAAGAGGATCGTTTAATTGTAGAGTGCAAAAAATTGAGCTTTTCTTATTACAACATTTTTTGGTAACAGAAGTATTTACCAATACTCCCGAGAAATATGTTGGCCTAGTAGAAACTATTAGAGAGTTTCTATTGACCCTCAATCGAGATGAGTAACGAGATGAAAAGAGTTTCAGTTTCATCTCTTCTCTTCTCTGTCATCGTGAAGGCTTTGGTTAATAATATAATTGATTACATCGAGATCGACTCTTACCCATATCTCGTCTTCAACTAGATCATATGTTAAAGTATTATATTTCCACGGTAAACGAGCAAAGCTGTTGTCATAAATGACTTGTTTTGCCTTGACATATTGCTAAATGTCAATTTTAGATGGTAATATGAATTAATTAATTTAGGTGGATCAAAGATAAATTAAAATGAGGGTTTTGATTTATCTTATTCTGATTTAATCAGGATAATAATAATACTGTGATATTCATCATCTTGAATGAGAACCTACATAAAAAAACGAGATTTGAATACTTGAAATTAATATTGGACCTAGTCCAAGCCGAAAATTGTAAGCACTATATCTTAGGCCCAATTGTTGGATGGACCTAAATACTATTGGACATTGTTGTTGGCCCGAAATTGATTAATCTTTTAGTTTTTGGACCCATCAGGGTTAGGTTGTTAGTAATGGGATTAAGATTTGTAAAAACCTATAAATACATAGTCTATGTCAAGGGTTTCATACATAGTTGATTGATCGATTCCTTGCTAGCACAAGAGAACTAGGTAAAATCCTAAATCTAATTCTCTCTAAATTCAACCAGCGATCATGATCTGCTCGTGGAGGTATTGTTCCAATTTGATCTTGTCGAGTGGATTTCTATTATATGTTGTACATCTAGACAAGTATAGCGTGCAAAGATCGTTACAGATCAGATTCAAAATCTTCTTAATTGATATGAATCACAAATGATTAGAGGGCTTAAACAAAGTTTCCTCCCTTAATTTGTTATTACAAATTAATGAATATAGGGCTCAAGTAGAATTTTAATTTTTTTTTCCAAATTGATAAGGAGATTGACATCTTAATCTTTAAATTACAATATCACAACTTCTTTTTTTTACATATCTTCATAATTTTTGGATATCTCCTAACGTAAATATAGTAAAATCAGTTTCGATATACAATTCTGAAAACTAACCGATGCAACGGGATATACATATCATAAAGTTTATCTTCATTTTATATCAAGTGTTTGTTTGTGAGAGATTTTTCTTGAGAAAAAAAAAAGTTTTTTTTTTTTTGAGAATGTGTAGTTTAAAATAAAGAAAAATTAATGGATCGAGTGAAAAATAATATTTTTAAGAATATGTGATTGAAAATAAATATAAGAAAAAATGATTTTTGAAACATTATCCCAAAATCTTGAGGGGTTGTTCAATTGGTCAGGCTTTAGGTTTGCTTTCCAATGGTCACCAGTTCGAGCCTCCTCAGAGCCACTGAGGTGAGTACCCAGTCATAAACTCTAGGGCCCCGTGGGATTAATCGAGGTGCGGACAAACTGACCCGGATATTCTTGGTTATCCAAAAAAAAAAAAAA